CTCCGCTCCCACTCTGTGCCTTGGTTCGCAGAGATAAATGCGATGCATCCCCCACTGGCCCCATAGCTGACAACTTAGCCTTCCCTGTCTCTAGCAACCAGCAGGCATCGTGGATTGATCTCTCCAACAACATTTTTAACTAGAAAGCTCTGTTTAGATTCAAAATAAAAGGAACTCCTAGCCAGTATTCTGCTGCGGGTGTAATTGAGGGTCAGAATGTAGTTAAGATAATTTCGCTTTCGTGCACTTGCCGAGCGCTCTTTCGTTGGGGTTCTATTCTACTTTCTGATTCCACTCGTTCCGACTTTTTGCATGTTTCAGCATTTCACTCACTCCGATGCTTCTCCCCTCCTGAGGCCTAACTTCTTGGTTTTGGTCAGAATGGCTCATTCATAGTGGACGGTTTGTGCGCAGACTAGTGTGCTTCTACAGAGTTAAGTGCGTTTTCACGCACTCATTTGCGTGAAAACGCACCGACCACGAACTTGCCCAATAATTTAGGTGCTTTCAGAGTACAGCAATGAGCGCAAAGCGTCGAATCCGCGTGAGCGTTCGCGCTGCCGCTACCGGTGTTTGCGCTAGGGTGTGTTGTAGCATAGGGCTTTTCCATTATGAGCAACCACTAAGAAGTTGTTCAAGTAACTGTAACTGACTCTTTAAAAATCGATCGGTGACCGTTGTTATCTCTTTCCTTGCAACTCTTTCTCTCTTTTCACCAGAAGATCACAAGCGCCGGAAACGCTCTACGCTCCATTCTGAAAGGTGCCTTCTAAGCACCATTTGAGACACGCATTATGAGAGCCTTTTGGTTCTAGCGCTTCGCGGTGTGGACACAGCACACTGGAGTCCACCTCTTTGGAGTTTTGGATTTTAATTTTTTGCTTTTTCAGAATCGCGGTAGCAGACTCCACTTCAACTCTTTTACATGAGCGGTCTCGAACCTGAAGGTCTTCTGCCATTACTGCAGCAGTTATTGCTGTCTCAGAAACAGCAAAGTGATGTGGAAGGCGTACTCTCTATGATCAAAGCAACGGTGGATGGTACGTTAAACATGAGGAATTGGTCAAATGCCATTTGTCTCAGTTAATAAAGTATAAGGATAAAGTCGGCGTTGATCCCGTTTTCGGGATGGATGCACCCCGCGCTCGATCTGGTGATGGTGTTTTGAATGACTTATGTGATGACTTACCGTGGTCAGCCTTCTTGCGGGTTAGAGCTTGTATGCTTCCAGGTGTGTCTGGCTTCAAACAACCGATCGCGCATTGATAAAAGGCCTAGTTGGCTTGGGCGACTAGCGTTGCGGGATTCGATCCCTAGAGCATGTATCTGAAAGTGTGACTTGTCACTATACAACTTTCCACCTATTCACAGTCACCTATATAGAGGAAATGCTTCCCTTGCAAATTCGATTTGGAACGTTCGTGAGAACAAGATAGTAAGATATCAGGCACTATTTATTTGGCTACCCTCAAAGTCCCAGCAGCATTTTCTTTTTCGTCGGTTCGCCCGATAATCAGGATGACTTCCCAAACTTGCAGACGTAAGGCGAAGTTGTGTACTCGTGAATATGTTCATAAATTAGGAATAAGGTAAAAGTAGGGGCAATCTTAGCTCGAGTTGTTTCCATCTCTTTTGCTTCTAGCCACCCACAGCTTCGATATTTTTTTTGCGATGTGCATGCCGATGACCTGAAAGTCTCGGGTGCCAAAACTTCACCCCGAATTCCCACAGCAAGTGGCAAAAGTCATGCGGCGGCTTCTTGCGCTGGGAAGTCAAACCCTTCCCTTCAGAACGCGCGACTGTGCACGATCGGGCGACGCCGTTTTCGGGGATAAGATACCGGACCCGTGTGTTTCTTATGCGGACGACTTTGCGACCGCGTTAAGCTATTCATGTCACACTTAGCTTCTGACGGCCTTTACTAACTTCACATACCCGCAAATTCGCAATTTATTGGAGAAAAATGTTTTTTCATATTCTTACAAACGTTGCTTTAGAACGAGAACGTGAACTGTATTTAATTTTTCACTGTCTCGTTATTGTCACTGCGATATTTTGAAGAGCTGTGTCGCCTTCAGACAAGTATCCATGTTAATCATTTTAGCGGAATGTTTTTCGTCATCTCTTCCTGACAAGGAATGGGCAACCGGTGTAGCTACCATTTTTGCAGCTCTGCGAGTAAGTGGTTCTGTACTGAGACTATTCTTATGTTTGCTTTGTCATGATACTGCGTCACAGTTTCATGTCAGAGTTTTGGTGGAGAAGGTTAACCTACTCTTCTACGAACAGTCTTCTTCGATAAAGCTCTGATCACTTTGTGGCTGAGTAGACATCTTGTTACACAGGAGACCCGTGGGTTCCAGTTCCTTTTTAGGTAGGAATGAGATCGTCGATTGCAACGGGAAAATGGGTACGCGATCGTAAAGGTTATGCCATGACAGTTCACTCGTGCTGTAAAGATCTTGGACAAGGAAAGCGTGCCTCATTTTTAGTGAGTAACCTTCAGATTTCTCTTGGTTACTTTTTTTGATAAATGCTCTTCCCAAAGAACATGGTGGCTAGACGAGATGACTTCATAGACATAACAACGTGACTCTGAGATATGGCAAAAAAGAGTAGCTCCAGAAAAAAGAAGGTCCTGACCATGAACGACTTTCGATGAATCCTGGCATGATATGGGTCTCAGTATAAAGGTGTTTTTGTGAAGCCTCGGCCAAGTTGATATAACTCTTTATTCGGCCAACGTACCGGCATTGTCGCCTTCGTCAGGAGCCAAAAATCGTGAAAAACTTCTCCTTCATTCCCATGGAAATAACCCGCGCTACTGTGTTTCAGTACACTATTTGGTGTACACTTAACCCTCCTCAGTAAGAAGCATGCAGTAAGTAATGTGGGTGACACCTAACCTTATCAAGATTCTCAGTGTTCAGCTTTTCTTCTATCTATGTGTCATAGTAATCGTTCTTTGGTGCACATCTCGATCATGTTTAACAAGGGCTTTCGGGGAATTTTCTCAGTTTCTACCGTAAACTTGTGGCCGAGGTCGAAAAGGTAGTGAAAAAGCTTCTTTTCGAAATTATGGAACGTCCCAGTAATCTGTTTTTACAATGTTTTGAGAGCTCTGATTTGTTGGGCGAAATGATGGTTGGCAATGTTTCCTTCGTGAAGTTTTGAAATTGTAAGAAATATCTGTAGCTGGTTTTCAACCTGCAGTTCCCATGTTTCTCTTCTCGCCCATACGCCTACCAATCTGCAAACACGGTAAAATAGCAAAGGGTAAGGCCAACACTCAGCCCCCAACATTACTAGTAATTCTGAAAGGACAATCTGTAAATGAAAGATTTCAGACACGTGTGATGACGTTCGAAGCTGTTTCTTCTCTCCTGACCTGCATAGTTTCTGACATGGTAGCGGATTCTGTTTCTCTATATGTTTTGCTGCAAGCCACGAATGATTTGTGCTGTATTGTGTTTTGCAGTGAAGAAATGAAAAGTGGTGAGTACTTTCTAAAATATTCGAGACCTCCAGTGTGCAACGATTTCTAAACGGCACTGGCTTCCATGCAAATCGCAGAAACGAGTTCCATTTCCCGAGCTTTTTTTTCGCCGCTATATCGGTGCTTCACAACATGGGCTGAGGTTCACGATAAGCTCACATTAAATATTACAGTTGGACATGTTTTCTTTCCTCGAGCGACTCGAGAAGCATTAATTCAGACGTGATAGTCTACAGCATCTAACTCTTATAACGTGCTCTACCCTTATTTTTGACTGATATGAATTTCACTTATACGAAAAGTTCAGTTTTTCAGAGTTTGCATCAATAAAAAACGTCGGTTTGTTTGGAAAAATCGTATCTGTGTGCTTGGAGATAGCGAAGAACCATGAAAATGACCTCAAATGCAGGTACGCACTTTAAAAGTTGGAAATCAGTAAATTGCATAGATTAGGTTTTCTGCATTACTTGTTTACCCGCATTCATGCGGTTGTAGTAATCTCCATAGAATAGACTTGGACACGTGATACACTTTAATATCGAGCCTTCACTTAGCCGCTGTTATCAGTCGATGAATGAGTTTAGTTCTGAAGGATCTTCGCTGGTATTCAAGGTATTGATAGGCGGAATTTATGGCGTTCTAAAGGCTAGAGGTTGAGGCTCTAGAGACCACCGGTCCATTCCACGTCGTTGATCTTAGTCACCTTTCATCAGAGGTTCGAAAAATAGGTCCAAGTCTTGGTCAGTCACTTCGGTTTTGGTCACCCTCACAACCCTGATCACATTAACGTACATTTGTTCTGATTGATTTTTGAGAGCGTATGTGTCGCTTATAGGCGTCCATGCACGTAGTCATAGGCAGCTCCTATGTGCGCTGGTTATTAAACATTTCGATGATTAAGTACCTTTCCTCATAGTTTGTTGTGCAGGCTTATGGCTCTTACGTCATTGAAGACCGTGGTTGACTGCTCGAAAGAAAAATGTGACTCCTTGTGTGTTGTTTTACCGGGTCTTGCATCCACGTTGGCTAATATTGCGTGCAAATCTTCTAATGAACACTACCGGATTATAGTATCATCTCTTAAGGTATCTGATTACAATAATGATCTTCCAGTATTTTTTAGAAAGCACATTCTTTTGATACCTTTCAGAATAACATACATTTCATATAGAAATATTTATTTTAAAGATATTGTCTCGTGCCATCTGCTTCTCCGTAGCTGATTCCGTGCAAAGTAACGAACATGACAGTTCCTACTCAGAGTTAAACTCGTCAATTAAAGAACTTTATGTTGTACGGAACGAAAAATGGAAAGCTCTGACCGCTGCAAACATAATGGAGATGGTCAGTTGTTGACAGTACCAGTTGTTCATTTTTATTTTCATCTTGTCTTATTCCTACGTCTTTTTCTGTAGATTTTTGGCTGTTTTTCCCCAGTGAGCTCAAACCTTTTGAAATAATGACAAAATCTGAAATTGTATGATTGGAAGTGCCTACCATAGTTGGGATCATCTGTTGTAGTGAATCCATAGGGGTTAAACCATATCTTATACGGCAATCTGCCATTGTTGATGTAGGGTCTATGGGAATATGTATTAGGATGTCCGAAAAGATTTGAGAAAATTCAGCCGATTTTTTCAACACAAAATAACTACAGCAACAAACTTTGATCAGTGATCAGGCTAGTGGCCCTTCTTAGCCACAATGTCTCCCCATCAACCCGGACAGAGCATTGATGCCATCGCCCAATATGAAGAGAGGCGTGACACAATACATTCATCTACCCCCTACTTGACTTGACGACAGTTGGTGGATTTTATTACTTGAGAGCAGGTCTGTGGGCTTCTGAAAGTATTTCAGTAATATGGGTTGAGGTTAGGTTGATTGTGGGGAAAGAGGTAGTCAGGTTATACCGCGTCTTTCCAGCTCATCTATCGATGTTCTTCCCTGGGTTGGTCGAGCATTATCCATCACAATCGAAAATTTCTCTGTATCCGGTGAGAAATGGAAGCTCGAAACACACAATCCCTCTCAGCCGGTAACAGAATAACCCTGAATTACCGCAGT